GCTAGGGCATGGCCTTGGGCCCTTCCCTCATGCCTTTCTCACCCCAGGCACCCAGTGCTCAGGTCTACTCTCTGTTTAGACTGGAGGGAGCCAGGAGCTGGCCAGCCCCAAAGCCAGAGGAGTGACATACCATGAGGCCTGCTGGCTCGCCCACCTCCCATATTCACTTCCTCCCCACCTTCTCTATAGGCGTGTTTTCTCCTATTTTGGAAGCCACCTGGTTATCCTGAGGCATGTGTGAGCTGGTGACTGACAAGAACCAGGGTCAGGCTTGGAAGGTTAGACCTGGTGATCAGAAGACCCCCAAGGGATACTTGTGTGCTCTGGGGGAAATTCAGAGTGACAGGCTGCTGAGGAGTGCTCTCACTCTACCCCACCCCCATCCTTCCCCTCAACAAGGGAAGCATTTCCAGGCAAAATGCCATCAGACCAGCCCAGGAGTGCAGAGTGAGCTGAGAACCCTCACCTGGTTAGCACCTGGCACAGATACACTCGGAGCTAGCCCACCCCCTACTCACTGGGGGGGTCTGGACTGGCCACTGGTCATGCTGGCAGGTACACCGGGACTGGGTCATGTTCCAGCCTGGCACACATTCTGGACATTCTCCAGCTGGACCTTTTACATATCAGGCCTGCTGTGCCCCAGATGGCTCCTTTACTTCCGAGTGTCTGGCCTTGAGACCTTTCTGATGAAATAATAGTAACTACTACTACTATTATTATTTAATAAGAGCTATGGTCTTGCTGTGCTACTAAGTCTGAACCCCAAACTCCTGCCTCAGCCTCCTGAGTAGGGGGAAGCCCAGTCTCTGCCTGGCTTCAGGTGGAGGATCCTGGTCTTTCACTTGGGGAATTCGTGTAGAGCTGCTCTCTTCTGGAGCAAGTGGAAAGAACTGCCAGGAGGGAAAGTGAAGATGTCCCCTGGCCTCCCCCTTGCTTCCTCCCCCAATCTCAGCGGGTCATTTCCTTTGCGGTGCTCTGACCCTAACTCAGAAATCCCTTTGGCTTACCTACGTCCCCACGTGTTCAAGCGTTGCGCTTGTCTGGCTCAAAGCCCCTAGTGTCCTGAGAACCGGGTCTTGCGTGGTGCTACTCAATGAGCAGAGGGAAGAGACCCAGCCCCTGACAGAGGGCGCCGGCGTCGTGGCGAGAGGTGGCGCTGATCCCACCCTCTCGCTTGCTGGACTCCTCGTTGCCTCCCAAGTCCTAGAGATTCCAAAGCCCGTTGACACTGCGCGCGGGAGAGCCGGCAGCGGCCACTCCTCCGCGGCGCGGCGCGTCGGAAGGGCCCCAGCTCTCCAGGAGCTCCCCGCTGCGCGCAGCCCGGCCCCGCCCCCGCAGCAGGCCCGCCTCCGGGCCGGCCCCGCCCCCGCAATGCCGCTTTACGGCGGAGGCCGCGCCACGCCGTGGGCGGCCGTAAAGCGCCCCCAGGCGGCACCGCCCCCGCCGGGCTCCGCGCTGGCCGCCCGCCCGCTCGAACAATGGCTGGCGGTACGCCCCGCGTCCACTACCTGGCGGGCTTCAGCTGCCCGCTGGGCGGCCTGGCGGCGGGAAAACCCCGCGTGCTGTGCCACGAGGCGGACGTCTTCCTGTCCACCGGGAGCGAGTTCGTCTACGTGTACGACCAGGAGGGCGGGCTGCTGACCGTGAGCGCCGGGCCGCGGGCGGGCGGGCGGCGGGCGGGGCTCGGGTCCGCTCAGCAGCGAGACCCCGCCAGGCGTGCGCCTGGCCTGACCACACTCCCCTGGCGTCCAGGCGGTGTACCGGTTCCCGGACCAGGTGTGGCACCTGCAGCTGCTGGCCCCTCGCAGGGCGCTCTACGTCCTGTGCGCCCGGAGGGGCATCTACTGCCTGTCGCTGGACACCCCCAGCAGGTGAGGGGTGGGCGTGGCCCCGTGCGTCCCTATCCGCCGTGGGGCCACCGTGGCCTGCACGGTATCTACTTGTTCACACATTCCCCTGTGATCTCCGAGGACTTTATTCCTGGATGGGTCCAGAGGGACGGCCCACCATCGCTGCGCTGGAGACGGAGGGCTGTGCGGGGCGTGAAGTCTCGGCGGGTTTTTGCCACACTTGCAGCCCCTCACACCCAGCACCTGTGCTGCCGTGTTCTCCAGGAGCTCCTGCTGGCAGGGAGTCCTTAGCTAGTGGGTCCAGGAGGCACCTCCGCAGCCGGCCAGCAGGCCTGCTGTTGGTCTGGTGGCTCTGGCCCGGACCCTGAGAAGCAGATGTGCTGGCTGCTGCTGTGTGAGGTAGAAAGGCAGCTTGTGCAGCCATCTGAAATGTCAAATGTGTCCTGAGCCGTCCGTGGGAGTTGGGAGGTTGTGTGGCCAATGGCCTGTTGAAGGGCTGACAGTCATCACTGTGGAGACCCTTCGGCACTCCCTGTGAAGACCCCTGCCCAGCCTGTTCCCAGGCGCGTTTTCGTGAACAGTCTACCTGGTCCATCCTGACTGGTCCCATTGTTCCCGGAAGGTCTGTGAGCCAGGCCAACAAGGACAGTGAAGAGGATGAACTCCCTTACCCTGTGATGCCCGTGGACCCGGATGCCTGCGTCCTCCCCGATGCCACACTCTGTGCGTTCATTGTGCTGGACGACATGCTTGTTGCCCTGGCGCAGGGCCCCACCCAGTGGAAGATGCAGCTGTTTGAGCACCCCTGTTTAGGGGAAGACCCCCAGCCTGGGGGCCAGATCGGTGAGGTGGAGTTGTCCACCTATACCCCCGAAATTGGTATCCCAGGAAAGCCCACAGCCCCCCACTTCCTGCCAGTGCTGTGCTGTATGTCACTGCCAGGCTCCAGAGCACCACATGGTCACCCCCAGGCCTGTGGGGGCTTCACACTGGAGGAGGCCCTCTTTGGGCTACTCTTTGGAGCTGATGCCACCCTCTTGGAGTCGCCTGTGATTCTCTGTGGTCTTCCTGATGGCCAGCTCTGCTGTGTGGCCCTGAGGGCCTTGGTCACCTCTAGGTCAGCCCCTGGTGACCCCAAGGCCCTTGTCAGGATCCTCCATCACCTGGAGGAGCCTGTTGTCTTCATTGGGGCTTTGAAGACAGAGCCACAGACTGAGGAGGCTGTGGAGAGTGAGCTGTCCAGTATGGAGGTCCACTCTGACTGCCTTGTAGCCCTTGGTCACCATGGCAGGACTCTGGCCATTAAGGCCAGCTTTGACAAGTCGGGGAATCTGGTGCCAGAGCTTCAAGAGTACTTCCTCCCGGGGCCAGTGCTCTGTGCTGCCTGTGGTGGGGGTGGCCGCATATACCACAGTACCCCCTCGGACCTCCGCGTTGTGGATTTGGCTCAAGGAAGCATCCCCTTGGACCCTCAGCAGCCCAACAGAGCCCCTGGAAGCCTGCCGCCCACACTGTGCCCAACCAGCTTGAGTGTCTGCAGTGTCCTGACTGTCTCTGTGTCACCCAGGGCACCTGCAGGTATGAGTGGCTGTTCAAATGTGGAGACCAAAGCTGTCAGGGGCTCCCTCTTGGCACTCTCCCTACGGGTTGGCCTGTCCTCTTCTGTTTTCTCATCGGCCACAGCCTGCTGGCATGGGGCCAAGGAGCAGCATGTGTATCTCCTTCCGGGACTTGAACAGGCCACTGCTTTGCCTGGATGGACTATCATCCCTCACTAGAGTGGCTGCTCAGAGCATGTGGCAGTGCAAGAGCACCTGTGGCGGGTCTCAGAGCAGGTCATGCCTGCATGCGTCTTCTGAGGGCAGGAACACACTTTCAAGCCTGCATGTGCTTATGGGCTGCTCCAGCGAAGGCAGGGCTCTTGAGCTAGGGAGTGTTTTAGCTGTGTGTGCCCAGTGTTGGCCAGAGCGGTGTTGGGGCAGGCCAGCCTCAGCAGAGGCAGCCTTTGTCTCCTGTGGTGGCCCTGGCTGTCTGGAAGCCCCATGAGGATGGAGAGGACGGGGACCTGGCCTCCATGGAGTACTTGTATTTGAGAAGCTCAGAACAGCCTTGCTCTTTATGGTCTGTTGAGGGCAGACTGTGCCCAGAAGACATGGCCGCACACAGCGTCCTCCTGTAGCCCTCTTTTTTTTTCTATTCACGTCTAACAGAACCAGATGCTGCCACGGTGCCACCTCTGTGTTGGGCTGATAGCCCATCTCAGGGAGGCCTGTCAAATATGTCAAAGACCCATGGGCAGCATCTCCCTCCTTGGGACAGTGCCTTGGCGCTCTGCCAGTGCTTGTCTTGGCACCTGGGACAAACACTTCTGAATGTCCTCGCAGCTGCCAACCACTGAGCAGCCCTATTTGTGTCCATTGTCAGGTGAAACTGAGCTCCTGGCTCTGTCTGCCAAAGGGCGCCTGATGAGCTGCAGCCTGAGCCCCAAGAGTCCTGGTCCCACCAGAATGACTTCAGCAAGTGCAGACCGGAAAATCAAGGAACTGCTCTCCGGCATCGGTGATGTGTCTGAGAGGTGAGCAGTGATCTCCGGCTCAGTAGAGCTGGCGTTGCATCCTGAGCAGAATGTCCTTCACTGGCTGTGGTCTGTGCGGACCACTGTGGATCCCAGAAGAGAGACCTAGAGGTTCACACGAGACCCTTCTTCTCAGGTAGGGCCCCGCTCCTTTTCCCCGCTAGGGGGCACAGGAGACCCCACCACTTCCTTAGCCCACAGACTCCCCTTCTCAGAGGACTCTGCCTTCCTGCTCTTAGCAAAGGCCACCATTACTGCCAGCCCAGGGGATGTAGGAGAGTACACTCCAGCTCCATCAGGCTCCTCTTGTCTTCCCCTGGCTCCTCTGGTCCTAGAGCATATCCCATAGGCTCCAGGTCCCTGTGCCCTCCATTCCTCCCTGCCCCTGTCACTGTGGAGCCCTGGAAAGGAGACAGGCTGATTAGGAACATCTGGGGCAGCTGAGGACAGTGCCAGGTAACCCCCATCTGTAGTTGTGACCCTGAGTGTCTGATGTGGGTGGAAACTTCTTCGAACCAGGGGCTGGCCCAGCCCCACAGAGCACTGCCCAGCCCCTGACCTGCTCCATCATGTGCCTTGCCTCCTGTGGCCGAGAGGAGGGGGGGCAGCTTCCATGGGGTCTTGGTGTGGGCGGGACGAGGCGAGATGCTCTCCAGGCCTCACTCCTTAGGCTTGGCTCACACCCTCGCTCTGCCAGCTGTGGAAGCAGGTTCTGTCCCTCCCCCTCTGAAGTCCAGGGGCTTGGCTCCCTGTGGTCTTCTCCTCCCTTCCCTGAGCACCACATCTGCCCTTTGCAGAGTGTCCTTTCTGAAGAAGGCAGTTGATCAACGGAACAAGGCCCTGACGAGCCTCAATGAGGCCATGAACGTGAGCTGTGCCCTACTGTCCAGCCGGGAGGGCCCCCGGCCTATCTCATGTACCACCACCACCTCCTGGAGCCACCTGCCCCTGCAGGATGTGCTGACAGCTACCTGCCTGCTACAGAACAGCGGTGACTTCAGCCTGGACCGGGGCTGGACCTTGTGCATTCAGGTGCTCACCAGTTCCTCAGCCCTTGACCTGGACGCAGCTGGCTCAGCTGTCACCTACACCATCCCTGTAGACAGGCTTGGCCCTGGCAGTCAGCGGGAGGTGACACTGCCCCTGGGCCCTACTGAGAGCGGTGTGCTTGACCTACCTGTGACCGTGTCCTGCGCACTCTTCTACAGCCTCAGGGAGGTGGTGGGCGGGGCCTTGGCCCCCTCAGACCCCCTGGAGGACCCCTTTCTGGAGGAGCATGCCCTCGACCTCCTTCCTGAGCAGGAGGGCATCTGCCTGCCTCTGAGCAGGCTTACAGTGGACATGCTGCGGTGCCTGCGCTTTCCTGGCCTGGCCTCACCCCACACACAGGCGCCCTGCCTGCTCAGCCCGGCCCGCGACCCTGTGGACACTTTCCTGGAAGCCTGCTGTGGGCCTAGCAGTGAGCCGACTGGCCCTGCCTCCCTGCGGGCCAAGTACTTGCCCCCATCGGTGGCCTCCATCAAGGTGTCAGCTGAGCTGCTCAGGACTGCCCTGGAGGATGCTCACTCAGGTTTGTGGCACCAACTGGCTTCACCTTGGCCTCGGGGCCTCTCCCCGTCCCCCCCACGCTGCACCCCATAGCTGGCCTGTTCCACCTGCGCTGCCACTGCATTTCTCTGTTAAATTGGGCTTCTTGAACCCTGCCTGTGGAAGCCCGGCCTGAACAGAGAGTCGGAGGCCTCACCAGGGAAATTTTGCATGGCAAGCATCCAGGGACCGGCTGGCCCAGCCCCCAAGCCCATGGCCCAGCCCCTAAGCCCATGGCCCAGCCCCCAAGCCCATGGCCCAGCCCCCAAGCCCATGGTCCAGCCCCCAAGCCTATGGCCCAGCTTGGCAGGACTGTCTGGGCCCTGTGTCTGCTTTGCGTTGCCACCGGGTGTGTGAACCCTTCACTGTGGTGCTGGATCTTCTGTCAGGATGGTGCCCTGTGTCACTGCTGCCGCTCTGCTGCTGGTGGGGGGCTGGCAGCCTCTGGGGCTGGCCTGCACAGGGAGGGAGTGGCAGCCACCCCCACTGGATGCATCCCTGCAGCAGAGCTGCCTGCTCTCAGGGCCACACCTGGGCACTGGCGGGCTTCCTCCATGGTGGAGTTCTGACTCCGTCAGCTGCACCACTTTGCCACCACCCCTTGGAAAGCTGCTTCTTGGGGAGCTATCCTGGCTCTCTGCTTGGGGTGAGCTGCAGAAAACTGGGACACTTAGATGGCACTGAGAAGGGGACATTGCAGGAAGCCACCCAGGTGTTAGCAGGGCCCACCTGAGCTCCTGATGGTGCTTCTGCCCTCCAGGTGTCCCCCTTTGCAGTGCCACCTTGCAGTGGCTGCTTGCTGAGAATGCTGCTGTAGACATCGTGAAGGCCCGGGCATTGTCTTCCGTCCAGGGGGTGGCCCCCAATGGCACTGACATCCACCTCATCATCCGTGAGGCAAGCAGGGGGTCAGTTCACCTGTCCGTGGGGAATCGGCTGACTGCTAGCAACTCTCAGAAGGGGGTCCCTGGACCAGTGGTGCTGGGAAGTTCAAGAGGAATCGGACTCCTGATTCCCCTAGGAGAAGCTGAGCCGCAGACCAAGAGGATGCCCAGCGCTTCTCTCTCACACCCTGCTCCCCCACCTGCTGGACTCACTTCCAGCAGACCCTCTGGTGCTACTTGCCACTGTCAGAAGCTGTTGCTGAGTGGTTTGGGGTGCCCTTAGAATCAAATTGATCCATTCCCCCAGACATTGCCTCCTTGCTGCCCACTACTCAGCCCCTTCAGGCCAAGGCTGGACCGGCATCTAGGTCAGAGCATCCCTGCAACCTGAGGCTGGGGTCAGGCAATAGCTCTGTCCCGTGGAGGGGTGCTCACAGCCCTGTGGAGGAGCCTGCAGTGACCCAGGCTCCAGGTCTTGCCCCACATCTGTGTCTGGAGAGCTGGTTCCTGAAGGGCACTTGGTGGTGGCAAAGACTCCGCACCTGATCCTGCTGTCAGAGGTGGGCTGTGGCACCCAGTGTGGGTGTGGGAGTGTGGCCTGCTCTACAGTGGACTTTCAAGAGCATGGGCATGGCCCAGATGTACAGGGCCTGGGCACAGCTCCACAGTGATGTGGTTTCCACAGTCTGGATCCTGAGGGTCTTCTTGGACGTGTTCTTCTCAGACAACCAAGTATCTTGCTATCAGTTCTTGGCTGTCCCCAGGCCAGGGCCCTTCTGACCCTACCCCTACCCACCTTCAGGGTGTAGAGTGGTGCCCAGGCAGGGAGTTGGGGCCGCCCAGGTCTTCCCTTGCTGGCAGCTTGGGAGGCTCTGTTAGCCTGAGCCCTCCAGGGCAACACAGGGGCTGCCAGCAAGACCTGTCTGTGTTGCAGGTGGCTGTGACTGACCTGTGCCCAGCGGGGCCCATCCAGGCTGTGGAGATCCAAGTGGAGAGCTCCTCCCTGGCAGACATGTGCAGAGCACATCACGCCATTGTTGGGCGCATGCAGGTACAGTGGGTGGTGTGGGCTGGGGAGGGAGGCTCTGAGGGCTGCAGGTGGGCTGTGGAGACTGGCTGAGCTACCACGGCTGCAGGTCATGGGGTCTGTGACCACCACTGCCTCTGCTGGCAGACGCAGTGCTGTAGAGACATGTGAGTGAGCGCTTCCTCGCAGACAGGCCACTTTGCTGTGCCATCAGCCCCATGTCACCCCAAATCCAAAGCCCACCTGCACCATGCATGCATGGCTGCTAGGGCATCCTGAGGCTTCCTGTCCTCCCCTGTTCACAGGGCTGCGTGGACTGGCACACTGTGGGCATGGGTCCCAGGATAAGGCATCTGCCCGTGCCCGGGAGAGTGAGCAGCCTTAAGGGTTTGCTGGGCAGAAGCACATGCTCTGGTGCTGTGCCCAGGCCAGCAGCTTCCAGGTCTGAGAAGCTCCCATGTTCCCATTGAGTCTAACCAGTGCCCAGAGCAGGGTGGCCTCAGTCCAGAGCCTGTGGCCCCTGTCCCCCTGTCCCAGCTCTGTTCAGAGACTGCAGTGTCCTCAGTAAGCCCGTCCTGAAGTGGGTTCTCAACTCTGGCCTCTGTGGGCCTCTCGGGAACCTGTCACCCCGACCTGCTACCTGACAGCAGCTGGGACCCAGTGTGCCAAGGTGCACTATGAGCCAGGCAGGAGGCATTAGCTGCCCTCAGAGCTCCAAAGGTCAGCCCTGGTGATCTCAGCATGTGGCTCCAGTGGCCAGTGCTGTGCCATGACCCCAGAGCCCACCCCATGCAGCAGGCCATGGTGCAGGCACAGCGTCTGCTTTAGTGCTGGAGTCAGTCCTGACACCATGACCAGGAAGAGTGGCCTCCAGGCAGTGCGCCACCGTCAGAGAAGGCGCTTCCCAGTGTTGATCTGGCCCCTGAGAACGTTGTCACCACCTCCAGACTTCCCCATCAAGGACAGTCATTGGGGTTAGAGCCACCCCGATGAGTTTGTCTTGGTCATGTGAAAGGTCCCCATCTCAAAACTCACATTCAGAGGTCCTGGGGTTAGGACTTCCACGTGTGGATCTGGGGAGCCACATGCTGTCCCTGGGTGGGACCTCAGTGTTGTGGTGGCAGTGTGCCAGCCTCCACACCCATAGGTTAGAGCTCTCAGGACTCCGCCCAGAGGGACAGCTCCCACTGCAGGCCAGCACTGCCTGGGGTGCTCCCGGTGGAGGCTCTACCGTGGGCCTCGCTCACCCCTGGAGAGGGCAGCAGGGGCCTCGCTGTCTAGGTCACTCAGGCCTGTAGCAAGCTGGGCTCCTGCAGAAAGTGGGAGTTGGCGACCAGCCCCTCGGCCCACTGAGTGAAAGGGCAGCCGGGTCAAGTTGGGCACTGGCCGAGGTGCAGCAGCAGCAGGCTCCACAGTCTGTCTGGTTCAGGGACAGAGCCGGCGGAGGGGGACCCTGGGTGTGAGCACAGCAAAGCTCTTTAGGGATGAGTGGAGAGGAAGGACCAAGTCGAAATTTATTGTCAGTAACTGATCACCAGGTGGGGCCCACGTGCCGCTGCTCTGAGAGGAGAGTCCCGGCAGGTGGGAAACAAAGAGTAGGGGAAGAGCCCACACAGGTGGTCAGAGTCAGCAGAGCAGGAGACTGTGCTGGAGGGCTGGGGGCAGCCAGAGGAGAGCTCACCCTTCTCTGATGGTCACGAGGGCCTGCTGGTGCAGACACCTTCCTCAGGACAGACAGTGGGCACCACCTGCCACATCCCCACTCCCACTGTCTCCCCCAGGCAATGGTCAGGGAGCAGGCTGCCCAGAGCTCCAGCCCACCCGACCTCCGCATGCAGTATCTTCGCCAGATCCATGCTAACCATGAGGTGAGCACCTGTGCAGGGCTGTCCCACCAACCTGGGCATCAAAGAGTGACCCTGGCAGGGCCCCTGTGCAGACAGATGCTCAGCAGTTGCCCAGCCTGGTGGGGCTGGCCTCATCCTCAAGTGTAGGCTTGACCCTGGGCAGGGCAGCGTGGTGGGGTCACGCCTCTCTCCTGCCTGCCTGGCTCCACCTGTTCCCCTAACCACGCCTGCCTGGCTGTGCTGTGTTCTTGGACCACCCACCACCTCCCAGGGAGGGGTCCCAGGGAGGGGTCTCAGGGAGAGGCAGAGGGCCTGAGCCATGCTGCTTGCCCCTAGGCACTGCTGCGGGAAGTGCAGGCCCTGCGTGACCGTCTGTGCACGGAGGATGAAGCCAGCTCCTGCGCCACAGCGCAGAGGCTCCTGCAGGTGTACAAGCAGCTGCGCAGCCCCAGCCTCGTCCTGCTGTGACCAGGTGGGCCCAGGCCTCCACCCCACTGCCTTCAGCCCTCTCCAGCAGCCAAAAGACCCTTGGTGGTTGCTCAGAGAAAGACTTAGAATACCACGGGTGACTGTCCCAGCCCTGCATATGACCTGGCCAAAGGCACCAGAAAGTGGAGGAAGTTGGTGGGAGGCAGTCCAGGGGAGCCCGAACCCCTGGCCTCCACCAACTCACTCCTTCCCTTTCTCCCAACAGCTGCTGGCCGCACTCTGCCACACTGCTGGGCACTTTCCACCCCAAGCACTGAGGCTCCCCTGGCAGCATCCTGTCTACTGAAGTTCTGGACCCCCAAGCGGCAGTCCATGAGGGACACAGGGCTTCTGGGCTTGGGACTTGGGTGGGTTCATGACTTGTTGCTGCTATTCCCCCCCCCCACACCCCGGGAGCATCAGCTGCCCCTCTGGTGCCACCAGGTGGGAGGGTACTCCTGCAACCAAAGCACAGAGATGTGGGGCTCCTGCAGGTGCCAGTGGCTCCTTGCTACACTGATGAAGGGCTTTCAGGGTGGCCCGTGGCCAGGATGCTCAACAGTGAGGTACCGTGCCTGAGCTGCACTGTGTGCTGCTTTTAGGGTCACGTGGGGCCAGGGGCTGCAACCCAGCATCCCCATTCCCATCCCCACCTCTTCGTTCAGCTGGGCAGTGCCCAGCCACTGGTGCTGTTTTTGCTCTGGGGTGGAGTGGCTGTGTGTCTAGACGTCTGTGGAGCGAGCCACTCCTGCTGGGAGCACTGTCGGTGATATGCACAGCAGGTGCTGTGAGGTGCTTTGCTGACAAGTGACCCTTGTGTTGAGCTCAGCTGGTGTTGGCTGGTTTTTTTACCCCCTCCCCACCCTCCAACAAGTATGCACCCCCAGCTCTGCTGGACTCCTGCCAGAGCTGCTTTCTCCGTGGCCCTGGGGCTGGTAGGAGGCCCCTGAACTGGGGGACTCTCCAAGGAAGGGCACCCTCTGCAGCACCTGGGAGCCCTCAACCAGGCTGCTCAACTGAGGGTCTGCTCTGTGGTGCCTCTGGGTGGGCCAAGAGGGGTCCACAGGAGGGAGGCTGAGGTTGGAGGCGCCTGCCTGTATGAGAGCCCGGAGTCTCCACCAGATCTGGCTCTGGTAACAAGCTGGGGTGTGTAGGGAGAGCCACCTGCTCCAGGGCTGATGAGGGCTGGCCTTCTAGGGGGCTCTGGCCTGGCCTGCCCAGGCTTGTCTGCAGCTGTCCCAACAGGACAGGCAGAAGCCTCTGGCTCCAACCCTTGTCCAGTGCTCTTGTCCATGTCTTGCAAGGATGAAGAGGCCAGTCCAGCCCCCAGGATGTGCAGGGCCTGTGTTCACCTGCCTTGGAGAAGGGTGACGTGACCTAGGCTGTGCTGGCTTCTGTCTGTTCGACTTGACACCTCCCAGGCCTCCCTGGCCATCGCAGGCTGTGGGGATCCCAGAGCTGACAGGTCTGGACTGTCTGCGAGGCTCACTTCCCCAGACACCCCCTACCTCCGTCTCAGGAGCCAGAGCAGATGTCCCAAGAGACCACTGTCTCAGAGCAGTGATGCCATCTGCCTTGGCAGCCTCAGCTGGGCATAACACACAGACCCAGAATGAGATGCCCGGCCAAGGGGGTTTGGTGTGCCATCCTTGTAGAGCCAGGGCAATGCCCCACACCGCTGTGCAGGTCGAGGCCACCTCCCCGTCAGGCTGCCCTGCAGGGGTGTTCTTCAGGAGGAGTGCCCTGAGGCATCAGTGCTGTTTAGTTATGTGGAGAGGACAGTGGGACCAAAGCCACATGGTTCCAGGCTGACTGACAGTGGGGGACACCACAGACCATGGGGTACATGGAGTCTACCTACCCTCCTGGCCACTTAGCTTCCCCATGTGTGGCCCTGCCAGGGTTAACTGATCTGCCCAACACTTGCCCCAGGGATAGTCCCTCTGGACCTGGACAAGGGCAGACCCTTGTTCCTGGAACTGGGCAGATCCCAGTCCACGACTCCTCCCCTAGGACTCTGCTTGGTTCCTTTCTCTTTGGCCTGCATGTCCTCACTTCCCAGAGCCTGTGCCACCGCTCCCAGGGGACCCTATCCTCGGTCCAGACTCCTACCCCTCGTTGGGCATCACCTGTCCTTGGGCAATGGACTCATTGGAGGACACTCCAGGCCCCAGAGAAGGGCAGGGACTGCCCAGGTCAGCTGCGGAGGTTTGGGGTGTGTCTCCTGAAGGAGGATCTGTGTGCCTAGACATGGAGGCACCTGGGGCAGGTGCGGAAACCAGAGGAGGCCCAGGGTGGTGGCTGTGCAGGTGATGGGGCTCTCTCTGGATTCCCAGCCATGGCCCTTTCCCTGAGATGGATGGGGAAGAGAGGGTGAGTGGCCCCCTGCAGGAAGTTGTCCCTGGACAGAGGATGCAGGGAGGGACTGCAGCGGGCCAGGGACAAAAGCGCCAGTGCTCAGCAACTTGGGCCAGCGACCCTGCCCCGCAACCCTTCTGACCCCCCAGGGGGCACCCGGAGCTCACAGCAGTTGTCAGACAGGCGGCTTAGAACGCGCCCGCTGATCCTCAGTACTCCCAGAGCGCGACCGCGGAGGGCACATCGGCGTCTGCGCGGAGCAGGCCCGAGGCGCCGCCGCGCAGGTACTTGCCGCTGCGCGCACGAATGGCCAGGCGGCCACGCTCGCAGAACTCGAAGAGAAAGTCCTCGGCGCTCTCGCCGTCGCTGCACACGCTGCCGTGGCTGCCGGTGTACCAGAACCCGCCGCCGCGGCCTGGGGCGGGGACGGGGCGTCGGCGTGGTCCACCCCCCACGCAACCCCCCATGCCTGTGCGCCCGCGAACCGGGTGTGTGCCCCACTCACTCCTGCGCACCTCGGATCTGATAGGCGCCGTCGCTGAAGCTCAGGTGGAAGACGTCGTAGACAGAGCGGTTGGTGTCCAACTGGTTGGAGCCTCGGCGGTGGCAGACGAAGCCGTCCAGGCCGCGCAGCACCAGGATGGGCCGGTTGATGAGCTTGAGGATGAACTCCTCGTCCTCGCCTGCAGGAGAGGGCGCTGTGGAGCTGCCCTCCCAGCCCCTTCCCTGTCCAGGCACAGTCCTGCCCGGATCTGCCATTGCCTGGTGCGCAGCCTTGGCAAGGTGCCTAATGCCGTGGAATCTAGGAGTCTCCAATTGTGCAAGGAGTCGAGGAGGTTCCCAGGGTTCCCAAAGGTGCGATGGAGAAAACCAGACCCTCTGGGAGCTAACTGTCCCCTGGTGGATTACCCAGATTAGGATGGTTTGCCCTGGCAGCAGCAGCTCCCCTGAGAGAGGGGAGAGGGCCTGTGTGCAGGCACCGGCCTGGGTGGAGAGCCTGCCCCCAGCACCTAGGAGGCAGGGATGCTCACCCACAAAGTCACTGATGGCTGCCAACTGCCCGTTCTTCTTCATGCACACATAGCGCCCATTGCTGGCTTTGAGTGCCACCCGCCGGCCACGCCACTCCACCTCAAACATGGTACTGGCAGAACTGAAGGGAACAGGGCAAGGTCCCCTCAGTGGCAAGAAATGGGGGTGCAGGCCTCCCCTTCTTCCTCAGGTTCCAGGGCCCTCCACTGACACCACCATTAAGAGCTGCCCCATCCAGAAGGCGTTCTTCCCTGACTGGGCTCCAACAGTGGTTCTCAGGTTGAGGTAGCAATGATGGTTGGTGCAGTGTGGTGGAGGTGATGGTGGTGGCAGCCATGGTGGTGACCTTAGTGGAGGTGACGGTGTGATGGGGATGGGGGACACTCACACTTGTGTGGCTGTGGCCTGAATGCCCCCATGGGTGACCAAGGTCCAGTAGCCTCCAGTGCTGGAATAGAAGGTACACTTCTTTGTGTCCTGATCAATTTGCATCAAGAAGGTCTCGTGGTCTAGCTCTTCATCCTGATTGGCTGAGACATTGACCCCTAGAGGGAGGAGATGGGGAAGTCCCTCACAACTCTCCTGGGGGGCAGGGGCTGAAGAGGCATGCTGGGGCACCCCCAAAGCCAGAGAGTCTCATCTAGAACCTCTGGATTTGGGAAGATCTGGAAAGCTCCTGCCAGGACCATGAGGCCCGGACTGCTCCCCCGCAGGCCCCAAGCTCTTCCCAAGGAAGAGAGTCCTTTCGTGCCGGCAAATCTCCCACTCCGCTAATCAGCGGGTAATCTGCTTGCTCCAGCTCTCTTGACCCAGGACTTACGCCAACTTCTATTTATAGCTCATTTCTAAGCTGCCAGGTGGGCACAGCAGGGTTTTTGCCCTACCCTATGTATGGACCCAGGTCACTTCCAGTGCCGAGGGACCAGGAAGACCCCCATACGCACATATGCTTGGTCTCCCAGGAGCCCTAGAGGTGGGGTTCCCAGAGAGGGTGGAAGGGGCCACTCTCTGGGCTGGCAACAGCCCAGGCCCGAAGCCTCCCCGGGATCTGCCCACCCATGGCATCTCCAGCTCCCTCCCTGAATACTGCATCCCAGTTTCCATGGCGACTGGGCACTCAGTGGTATGACAGGCTGCAGGCCCCACGAGGCCCAGGGGTTCCAGTGTGGGCAGCTAGGGAATGGGAGGAATAGTGAACAGAGCCCTACCCAGTCCGGCCCCTGGGAGGAAGGGCATCAAACAGCAACCCCTAGGGTAGAGCCTGGGTCTGCTCCCTTCATTGGTGTCCAGAGGCCACCCCTGGGCCAGGTGCTACTCACACTCAGGTCACAACTCTGGTGCAGAGAAGCAACTGGAAGGGGCCTAGCATCTTTGCCACTGTCCCCACCACCACCAGCTCCCTCATCCCAGCCACAGATACTGAACTGAATGGGCAGCACCTCTGTCCCTGAGCTTCTCCTGGCCTGGGACTGACTGTGAGCCAAACATGGCCCTTGTCCTCACATGCCTGGGCTTGGTGAGCAGAGGACGAGGATATCTAGTGAGAGGTATGAGCCACTGTGGGACGGTGACAACTGGCCTCCCTGCGGGGACTGAGAAAGAAGCCAGGTCAAAGGACTGGCTAGGCAGGTCGAGTGGCCCACTGCGGCTGTCTCCCAGGCCAGGGGTCCCACGTCATTCCACGCACCACATTTAGGCAGGATGCTGTCCGACATCTTTCTGGACACACAGTCACCTGCTTCTAGGAAGCTGACCTCACAGTGGGAGGGACACAGAGTTCAGGTTGGTATGGGGGATGTTGTCTTACCCTACTCGGGGGATTGGTTGAGCCAAGCAGTGTTCAGTCCTGACCAATGAATGTAAATGGGGTATCTGCTAGGATTTAGGGGAGATATTTTACTCCTAAGAAAACAAGAAGGGCCAGTGATGCTTTTTTCTCTGGATTTTGTCTTGTCTGGATATGAGGCCTGGAGTTGCAGCAGCTATTTTATGAACAAAGTCAGCATTGAGTCAGGAGAGTGATTCGACAAGGAGGTGAGAACCAAGGCCCTCGGTGGTACCACAGAACTGACCATGGTGCCCTTCCAGGAGTTGCACCTTCCCTGAGGCCTCTGGACAGTCACGTCTGGACAGACACCAGGCAGTCTGGTCTTCCTGCCGTGCTACCCACCAGCACTGCCATACCAGTGAGGGCAGACAGACTGGCTGGCAGGCTGATGGAGGAGGGAGGGGAGACCTCAGAAGAGAGAAGAGCACACTGGGTGCTCTCACACCCCTCCAGGGCGAGGAGACAGCCCAGGGATCTGCCTGGCCAAGGCCCCGCTCTGCCGCCACTCCAGGACATCAACCGACAGGAGATGGGGCAGAGCTCACGGCTGCCCTGCCTGGAAGTCGGGCACCCGCTCCCCAGGCCTCTCCTTCCCCGCAGCCTGCTTCCT